AACTTGCCTGCTCCTCTGATGCTACCTGGCCTGCTGTGTTCCTCCAGCTCCACACTGTGTTATCTCTGACTCCAGCATCTGCAATTCTTTCTATCTCTTAGTAGACATGTTTTTAAAGTAACCTTGAAGTCTAACCTGACCTGAATTGTACAGAGATCCGAACAACCCATATTAAAACGGGCATTTCGGTTTGGGGGGGAGGACGCTGCTTTTGGGATTGCTTTACTTCCCAATGGCTTTTATTTGGGGTGGGCTGGTGTGTGAAAACGACAGGTGGCTTTTCTCCGCTGCTTTTACGTGTCCTCTGCAGATCGTTTAAGTCTTCGGAGCAGCTTGGGGAGAACTGCTGCTCAGGTTTGAGATCTTCATATACCGTTTCATGCAATGTTTGTGTAAAGACAACGGAGGATCTTGTGGCTTTCTAACTGTACAGGGGTCTGTGGGGGTGCCAGTATTCACAGCGGTTTCCACGCCTTTTGTAATATTTCCAGGGGATCTGTAGAGTTGCACTGCGCTCCCTCTGTCAGGGAGAATCACCCAAACAGCAGAGCCAGGAGCCAGCGCTGCAGAACACGCAACAACCTTGCCTCGCCTGGCGTGTAACATCACGTACTTCCCTGATGAGCGCGCGTCTGACGTATGACGCAGGGCGCAGTGGGAACGGCAATGGCGGCGGATCGCACGAAGGCGGTCGGAGCTGTTCGAACGTCCCGCTCTGCGCGGGATGGCCTGGACAAAAGCATCACGCTGCCGCCCGACGAGATCTTCCGCAACCTGGAGAATGCCAAGAGCTTCGCCATCGACATAGGTGAGCAGAAAACGAAGTGAGGCGGCGGTGTTGAGAGTGAGGGGCAGATGAGAAGGGGCAGGTAACTGTTTGGCCTGAGAGGATTGGGAGATAGGGGTGCGACAAGCGGGCAGGCACGATGCGCATGTGCGGCCTGTTGCAGCGCCGCCTGGGAGTTGCAGTTCTCAGCGCCGATGCACCTTGTTGGTGCGTGTTTAAAATTACGGACAGCGAAAACTACCACTCCCATCAGGCATTGCTCTGACAGCTCAACCGAGACAGAGAGAACACCAACCTGCACAGGTGTTTTACACGGCCGCTGAAGTCAGAGCATGCAGCCACCTTGGTGGCAGCTACGTGCTGAAATCTGACCCACCTTCAGCACTCGATTGTCATCTGGCGTAATGACCCATACCTTGCAGAGCATGTACGCCAACCTTCAGAAATTATTATCTCCATAATAATAAACACAAACAACTGAGAATACTAAAAGTCTGAAACAAAAGCAGAGTGCTGGAGTAACACAGTCGGTCTCTGCCAGAATCTCTAGAGAGAATACGGAGTTAACGTTTTGAGTCCAATGAGCCTTCACTTTTCCAGCCTGCTTCAGTTCTGAAAAAGTTGTACTCAAAATGTTAGCTTTGTTTTTCTCCACAGCCGCTGCGAAAGCTCAGATCTCCACAATCTGTAGTATTTTGACTTATTTCAGCAGTTGATAGTTATTTAGCAGGGATCAAGTAGTTTTAATCTTTCCAGCTGGATAATAGTTGTGTACAACAGCAATTTGTACTTTACAGACATCCCATTTATGTATCACTGTTGTGCTCAATGACCTTTTTGGCTTCTGGTCCAGCAGTGGCTTAATTTTCAAATATTGATATGTGTCCAAATCCATCCCTTATCTAGCTCCCCTTGTATTTCTGTCATCTACCTCAGAACTACCCTCTGAGATCTTTGTGCTCCTCCAACTTTGATCTTTCAAGTTTCACAGATTTTCTTTACTTCACCATTTATACAATACAACACATCATAAGAACAGGCCCTTCAGCCCACCACGTCTGCGTTGATTCCTCGTCATTATCTACTACTTGCCCATATGCAGTTTCTATTCCACAGTTCTGAGGAAGGGTCGCCGGACCCGAAACGGTAACTCTGTTTTATCCTTCACAGATGCTGCCAGACCTACTGAGCTTTTCTAGCAACTTTGTTTTTGTTCCTGCTATACAGCATCCACAGTTCTTTTGGTTTTTATGCAGTTTCTATTCCTCTGTTTGCCTCCCATTCATGTATCTATCAAGATATGCTTTAAATGTTGTTAACGTGCCTGCATCCACCATCTCCACTGGCAGTGTTTTCCAAGCACCCACTCTGTATTGAAAAATTGTCCCCACACTTCTTCCCTAAACTTTCCCCCTCTCACCTTGAATCTGTGCCCTTTTGTAGTTGACCTTTCCACCGTGGGAAAAAGCCTCTGACTATCCACCCTAGCTATGCATGTCGTAATTTGGTAGACCTCTATTAGGTCACCCTTCAGCCTCCTTCTTGTGAAAACAATCGGAGTTTATCCAACCTTTCCTCATAACTAAAACCCTCCGGAGCAGGAAACATCCTAGTAAACGTTTTCTGCACCCTCCCCAAAGCATCCACGTTCTTCTGGTGATATGGTGACCAGAACTGAGCACAGTATTACAAATGTGGCCTAATTAAAGTTTTATACAGCTGTAACATAACTTGTCAACTTTTATATACGATGCGCAGGCTGATGAAAGCAAGCGTGCTTCTTGACCACCTTATCCACCTGTGTTGCCACTTTCAGGGATCTGTGGACCTATGCGCCCAGATTCATCTGTATGGCAATGCTGCCAAGGGTTCTGCCATTTATTGTATAATTCGCACCTGAATTTGGTATTCCAAAACTCATCTTGCATTCATAACCTCTCTCCCTTTAAGACACTCCCTAAAGCTTAGCTTTGTCCAAACGTTTGCTCATCTGGCATACCTCCATTTGTAACTCACTGTCAATTTTTTGATAATTGCTTGTGTTTTACTATGTTAAAGGCACAATATAGACGCAAATTGTTGGATGTCCCAAGTCACTTAAGACCTCAATGCATTTATTTTGAGCTTAATTTATGAAGGGGCAATTTGCACATACTTACTGTTATTTCTAGATTTCACTTACTGAACATTCAAGTTGAACTCCAGTCATTAAAGGAATTTATTTTTCCACTGCCTTTCTGATTTTTAAAAAAACCGACTTTCTTGGAATATGATTCCCTGTTGCCACTTACTATTTTGCAAAATTACATGCTAGGTGTTGATCAGGGTATTACGTGGCTAGTATTTCCCAATAATATTCAAGAGGGAAAATAAACTTTAGAAGTTTTTTTTCCTCAGTCATCTCCCTTATTTCAGGATGTTTGATAATGGGCTATTGCTAGTCTGGCTAAGATTACATTACTCAGCACAGGTGAGGAACCAGATAGCCTTTTGTATGTGGCTAAATTGCTTATGACCTTTTTTCACCTGAAATATCTGAGAAGTTGAAATTTATGTCTCATGCAAAAAGGAAATAGCTAGTGAACCTCTTGAGAAAATTAATTGGCTTTCAGCCTGATTTGTTCATTAATTGCCCTTGAGACATTCCTTCTTTTCCCACTCTCCTGCACCAGTACTTCACACCTATTTGAATAATGTGTGGAAAAAAAATGACAAAAGATTATCATGCATCATCCCACTCACTTAAAATGGTTGAATGGTTTCCCTTAGGAAATTAGAAAGTCCTGCAGAATTGTCTGTGTCTACTTAAGAAAATTGACTTTGAAACCATTAAAGGACTTGTTTGCTTTGGAAGGCTGAAGTATAAATTAAACTAAACAGCAATCTATAATATCAAGAGGCCCATTATTACTTTAATGGCAGGACATACAGATTGCAGTTCAGTTTTGTGGAATGGAAGAAATTGATTCAGTAGTCCACAGATTTTCCCGTTAATAAAAAGAAGTGCAGAGACATTTGGTCTGATTTCAGCATTTAAAAATCTTTGTCATGAGAAATTTATGCAAAAAAGAAATGTTTCAAATCCTTACATCATTTTATCTGTAGATGAAAGGAACTGGAGAGCTTTCATCACAACAGGTACACCCTTTCATAACTGAACTGCTGCATATTTCTACTTTCTGTTTTTATTTGATTTTTTTTTCGTAGAATCCCTACAGTGTGGAAACTGGCCCTTTGGCCCAACAAGTCCACACTGACTCTCAAAGCATACCACCCAGACCCATCCCCCTATCACCCACCTAATCTATATACATCCCTGAACACTATGGGAATTTTTAGCATGGCCTTTCCACCTAGCCTGCAAATCTTTGGACTGTGGGAGGAAACCGGAGCACCCGGAGGAAACCCATGCAGAAACAGGGAGAATGTGCAAACTCCCCGCAGATAGTCGCCCGAGGGTGGAATTGAACCCAGGTCCCTGGCGCTGTGAGGCAGCAGTGCTAACCACTGAGCCACCGTTCTGCTCCTTCAGCAATTTTCGTTTTCCTTTTATGTGCTTGGTTTCTGTGGTTGATAGCATTAAAATCATTTTATTAGGGTCTTGTGGGGCTATGACAGTGTTCCTAGTCCACAACATCTGGAATTAAATCCCACTTGTCATGGAGGTGTCGTAACATGTCCATATAGGCTGATTAAAAATATTAAGTAAGTAGCAACTTTCTATTGGTAAGAGACATGGTAAACCAGACGAGACCAAGTTGAGAAAATTGACAAAAATAATCAGGAGAGTTTTTCTGCAAACAGCAGATTATGATCTGCATATTCTGCCTGAAAGGATGGTGGAAGCAGATTCAACACTGGCTTTCAAAGGGGAATTTGAAACTCAAAAAGGAAAAGAAATTGCATTGCTTCCAGATTACAGCATAACAGTAAAATTAATGAGGTTCTTCATGAGTTCTCCACCCAAAGGCAGGCTCAGCCCACGGCATTATGATCTCCACCATGAGTATGGCAAGGAGGCGTGTCTCAAATCCACCCCAGGGAATTGAACCTCATGCTGCTCGTGCCAACCTTATCCACATGGTCATCCAGTCAACTACTTTCCCAAGGAATCCAGGTTGCTGTGGCATCCCAGCCTTCTACATACGATTGTTATCCTGGAGTAAAGAATAGCATTGATAGAATCTCCAATTTTCTTTCATCATTGCATGGCTAACCAGGAATCTCATCTGCTTTAACCACTGGCCATTGGTAAATGTATGATGATTTGTAGATTGATACCCAGTATGAAGGCCATATTCTGAATGCACTAACCTTACCATTAAATCCTGGAGACACACTTGACCTGGAGCTTCTGGCTCAGAGGCAGGAACTACTAATCAGATAGCGTTTTAGAAAAAAACTGATTTCATGTTGCTTCAGTTTCAGTGGTTCCTGTTGTGCTATAACATTCTGTGCTTTTTCACAGTAGTAACGGAGGGACCCCTGAAATGTAAAATGAGCCCTAATTTATGCATTTGAGCAAGTTTTGTAAAATAGATGAGTCAGCAGGACCTAGGTTTGAGAAACGGTCTTTTCTGATTTTGATGCTCTGAGCCAGGGCAGGAATAGAGTGCCAGGAGTTGGAATACGATTGGGATCAATACATCTGGATTAGGAAGGAACAAATTCATCCTCTAATCATATTCAATGATTCCGCTTGAAAAGAATGCACGATGGATGAGGGTTGAGTTTGCCTTTGAGAAATGCAAAAGTCCCACCTCGACTGACATGAAGAATGGATGCTCAGGCAAAGCTCCAAGTTCCAGCTAGCACCTGCTAGTGTGGGGTGAAAGTTTCCTTTTTTTTAAAAGAAAGAGTGCTACTATAGCTTGAACAGCATTGACAGGTCAAGTTGCTTGCCTGATTGCCCTTTTAGCTGAAAGTGATTTGTGGCATGAGTAAGAAGTGTGTTGAGCAACCCCCCCGCATCCCAAAAAAATGTCAATAACTGTTTCTGCACTCTTCTAATTCTCAGGGGAGAAGTTTTATCAGTTCAGTGCTAGAGGTGATAGCTTTCACCAGAACCATTAAGAAATGCTATTCCAATAATTTCTCAATGAAGTGGATAAATGAGTATTATTTACTTGACATGCTTTTTAAAACAAAAACTTCATCGAAGACGTTAATGGCAAAGTGTTTAAAGGATTCACAGTGAGCTGCATCCTTTATTTCTGAGCCCACTGAGGGTTTGTGTGAAGGAGCAGATTATTGCACACTTCATTTACCTGAATGTGTCTGTGTATATGTCATTTTAAATCAGAGAGCCATAAAGTCGTACAGCATGGAAACAGACCCTTCGGTCCAACTAGGCCACACTGATCATGTTCCCAAACCAAGCTCCTCCCACTTGCCTGGATATGGCCCATGTCTCTCCAAACCTTTCCTATTCATGAACTTATTCAAATGTCTTTTAAATGTTGTATTTGTACCTGCATCCACCACTTCCTCTGGCAGTTCATTCCACATACGAGCCACTCTCTGTGCAGTAAGGTTGCCTGTCATGTCCTTTTTAAATCTTCCTCCTCTCACTTTAAAAGTATGCCCCCTAGTTTTGAATTCCCCCACCTGAGGGAAAAGACTCTTGCTATTTACCTTATCAATGTCCTTCATGATTTTTATAAGGTCACCCGTCAGACTCTTATGCTGCAGTGAGAAAAGGCCCAGTTTATCTTTATAATTTAAGCCCTCCATTCCTGGCAACATCATTATATTTATTTATACAAAACTTGCTTCTAATGGCTTTCTTCTAGACCAGTTCTCTGCTAACTCCTGATACTCTCCTAAAGTCATTTACATCTGTACTTGTAGCAGAAATATAGGGATGCAGAAAATTGAAAGTTAATCAGGAGAAACAACAGAATGATAAAATGTATGCCATTTGACCATGGTCTACTTTACAGTTCATATTTCTTGAGCAGGAACCAGATTAGTTATGTGTCTTTGGTAGGAGCTTGTAGTAATCTGGCTACATCTCCACTGTCTGGACTTTTTTCCCATGAATAGGCATTGTCGGTGAAAAAAAAAAATCTGTGGGCTGCTTTCATCTTTCCTCCAATAATGAATGACAGTGTGCAGAAGTACTGCAAAGAATGGCTTTAGCAGCTGCAGTTTTCTGCTTCAACCAAAGAACTGACAATAAAATAAAACGATAAGCTAGTATGTAGCTTAGTGTTCCTGTTCAGGAGAGATAAGACTGCTGAACAATAAAAGTATGAAATTAGCTCTTTCAACTTGCTAATCAAGAGCATTTTGAGCCAATAGCCCCAGGTAAATTACCAGTGGTTACAAACCTATCATAGCATGGGAGCTTGGAGAAGTTTGAGCTGGTAAATTAGGAGCAGCAGGATGTTGAGTCATATTGGCACAAGAATAATTTTCTTACATGTTGGCACAAAGTCACTGCTTTGGAGTTGTTTCTGTTTTGCAGTCCCTGAGCTGCCATGCTATATATTGTAAACAGAACCAGAATAATGTCTTTTGTTAACAGGTGGCTCCTTGACAAAGCTGGCCTACTATTCAACAGTGCAGCACAAGGTTGCAAAAGTGCGATCCTTCGATCATTATGGTAAAGTAAGTATGACATATAATAAAGCAACTTCTGTTTCTAAAGTGTCTTCAATAAAACACCCCAAGACATTTATAACAGAAGTGTGATAATTCAAAATGACATTGAACCATATAGTCTATATCATTGGGCAGATAGCAGAAAACTCTGTCAATGAGGTAGGTTTTAAAGGAAGAAAGATGCACATCCTCACTGGTGGAGCAATTTACATCGAGGATGCTTAGATGTCCATATTTAGAGGGGTACAGAAAAGATTGGGGACTGGAGCCACTATACGAGCCCAAAGACGATGCCTGAATGAGACTTTGTGTGAGCGACAAATGATCAGCAAAGTTTTGCATAACATCAAGTTTACAGAGGGTCGAATATGGGAAGCTGGCCAGAAGTGCACTGAAATATTCAAGACCAGAGGTAACAAAGACTATTAGCAGATGAGCTGACAAAGTCTCAAATGAGGAATGGTTCGGAAGTGGAAAGAGGTTATGTTGATGATGGATGGGGAATGAAAATCTCAGTTCAGACTCATATAGGATACCAAGACTGTGAGCCACCTGATTCAGCTTGAGGCAATAAATAGGTATGGGTTGGAGTCTTTACCTAGTGAATAGATTTTATGGCAAGGGCCAAAAACAATGGCTTGGGTCTTCCAAGTTTATGGTGAGAATCCAGCACTTCTGGGATTGGATGTTGGAAAATGCTAATGCTGTAGAGGGATCAAGAGGGATTGTGGCAGGGTGGAATTGGGTTTCATCAGCATACATGTGAAATTTGATGAAAATGGTTCATCAGTCTAAGAGAACAATCATCTTTGCAAGTCCTACAGCAAAGAACTATTTTCAAAAACAATTACTCCCCACATGAATGATAAACGGGACAGTTGATTCACATTATTGATTGGTAAATAGACTTGTATTTAGCCACTACTTTTTAATCCTATTTTAATTTTTTCAATCTAGGCAGCTCTTATAATAGGTGCCATTGGGTTAGGTTTTTATTATTCCAGTTGTATTATATTATCTCCTAGAAAACATGGTTTTCCACAGCATCTGTTTCAGATCATGCTAGCGTGTTAATGTTTTTCAAAGGTCCCTGATGATGAACCATTGTACGAGATCTCCGTTCAGGAAGAGATCACTGCCCGACTTCATTTTGTTAAATTTGAAAACGCTTATATAGAAACGTGTCTGGACTTCATCAAAGCACACCTGGTGAACACGGAGACCAAAGTGATTAAAGCCACAGGAGGTGGTGCTCACAAGTTCAAGAATCTCATAGAGAAAAAGCTGGGACTAAAGTAAGTGAAAGCTTAAACGTTGTTAAGAGAACAAGTCACATTGATACTAAGGAGTACTGAATCACGTAGACTCCAAACAATCTTTCTTGTCTTCTGGGCACAGTGGAAAACTTAACTACTGGAATCACAGTGTTGTTAGAGATGCTGTCTTTTAGAAGACTTGTTAAACCAAAACTCAGTTTCTAGTCCTAGGCAAACATTAAAAAAATCCCACAGTGCAATCTTGAAAAAGAGAAAAGGAGTTCTCCTTGCTGCCTTTACCAATTTCCATTGTTCAGCCAACTCTGTAAAACACAATATCTGTTCTTCTCATTTCCAGCTGTGGAATCCTGCATGCAAATTAGCTGCCACATTTCTTACATTCCATCATTGATCACACTTCAAACAACGTTATTTGCTGTAAAACTCTTTTGCAATGCACTGAGGTCATGAAACCTGCTATATACGTGCTTTTCTTTTATTTCCTTCCTGTTTACTATTTGTGATTGTGCCCGCTAAAATTATTTTCTAAATTCTTGGAATAGAAATCAAATATTTGTTAAGTATCTTCTATTTCAACAGGCCATATATTTTACCTCTGAGTCTGTCAATTGTGAATTAGGTGGTTTTGGTGCACTGCAAGATAAGTCTTCTTTGGTTACCTTTGAGTTATTTGCTGCATTGTTATTTACAATTCTATGCTAAATGTTTACACTTGCCACTTGCCTTCCTTTGTGAGGCAACAACATGAAAACTTTACTGTTTCTGATTTCATATTTTGCTAAATCACACATTACAGTGACTTTTGGATATTGGCTTATGTTAATTGCACTTAATCAGCCTACTGCTGGGTCAGTAGCGTATTCAGATCAGATGCAACTCAAGTATATTAAAATGTTTTGTGTAATTAAACATTACTTCCTACCAATTTATTTTTTCCATCACCTAAGGTATTGGTTATGAATATGAGACTATATATTTCTTGTATTTTTATAATCTTTAAGAAAGAAAATTGCATTTGTATATACTGCCAGTTAACTCTCTCCTGATCCTCCCCCGCCCCGAGTCCACATTTATAATGAAAATTGTTCAAATAAATTTGTTCAGCAGTAATTACACTCTCCAGCCTATTGTGTTGTAGCACCACCATTTGTTAGATATAATTGCAGTACATAGCTTACCATGCCATTGTAAATTGGGATATCGGAATTTGTATTAGAAATAAGATGGGTGGGAGGTGTGACTTTGAAAAAGACTTTGAACTATATTTGGTCTGATGTCCCCTCCGTGTAATTGCTTCACCTGAATGTTAGTTTGATCTTAATCTTGTCTGCAACATCATAGGAGTTTGGTATATTAAATCTGGTATGTTGAATATGCGTTTCTAATGTGTCCTACTTCAGAGAGCTGTGTAAAGAAGTGAAGTGGAGGTGGCAGTGTTGGTTTGGGGTGGACAAGGTCAGAAATCACAAGAAATCACACAAACACCAGGTTATAGTCCAACAGGTTTATTTGAAAACACAGGCTTTCAGAGCCTTACTCCTTCCTCAAGTTTTAGTGAGAGAGGAAGCATCAGACACAGAATTTTATAAGTAAAAGATTAAAGGGTTACACCATTGATGAGACTGTATTAAAAAACCTAAGATTCTGTCAAATCTTTAATCAGTTAGAAGGTTTTAATTGATTATTATCTATATGTAAATTCCCGAATTCTTTCAAGTCAGTGTACTGTAAGAACTAAAGGTTTCATTAGTGTAAAGAAGAGGTGACATTTTAGGTCAGACAATGCATGTAAGAAATGAAGCAAGTCTTCAGGAACACAAAATACTGAAGTTAGGATGGCAACAGTCTATTAATTAGCATCATTGTGAACTTATTAATTGGTTGCTTAACAGCAGCAGTTTCCAACATTGATTTTTCTATATTTCCACTTCTAGTAACATTTCAAATTTACATAATACAGAGAATGTATAATATACAGACTATCCACGCTGTATGCCTGAGCTGCTGCATTTGATAGCGATTTCCACATTCTAACCACATTCTGGATAAAGGAGTATCTCTTCCATTCCTCATTGGATTTATTAATGGCCCCTAGTTTTGGTCTTCCACGCATGGAATTGTATTTTTTGTATGTTTAACTTAAACTCCTTCGCAGTTTTAAAAGGCTGTATTAAGTCATCTTCCATCTTTCTTTTGAGAGGAAGAATAATGTGTTACACTGTATCATTTTTCTCTTTTAAGCCATATCCTTTCATTGATTGTGAGGTTTGCCAAAGGACATTTGCTGGGCTCTGGTAAATTATTTCACCACGTTCTGCCTGTCACGCACACATTGAAGACAATCATTTGGAATTTAAGAAGAAGCTGTCTTTGGTTGAAAGTACCTATTTTAACACTGAATTGAAATACCTGGCATATTTGCCTGATCTTAGCAATTACAGTTTTTTAAAATGAAAATGAGCCCAAGCCAAGCAATTCATCCTGTGCAGTCAGCAACAACCTGAAGAACTGTTAAACTCTTGATCTCATCCAGTAATTATGTAACCATAATTGGACTTGGGTGAGAAGTGGAGTAAGGTCATAACCATCAAATGTTAGATTCTGAATTATCCACGACAAAGCTTCTGCTGATATAAAACAGCAACTTGTAAAGATCCTGGTGGCAGAAGTCCTGACCACTGAGTGCAGGCAGCCAGTTAAAAGCAATTGAGGCATACGTGGTTTTATTGAAAACGTGCTCAGATTGGTTAAGGGACCGAGGTAACAACTCTGTCAAGTGGATGTTGAGGTGGGTGTGAGTTGTTTTAGAGCAGGTTGGCAGCAGAGCTGACCTTCAGTGGGCTTCAGGCTTTCCCATTATGGACTTAATCGGAGCAGTGATGGGAAGGCAGTGGAGTCCCTATCCTACCTGATTAACTGTCCCCGCTCCCAACAGTTTTTTGAGGAAGTTACCAAAAAGATTGAGGGCAGAGCGGTAGACATTATCTGCATGGACTTTAGTAAAGCCTTTAACAAGATTCCACATGGTAAACTAATTAGTAAAGTTAGATAACATGGGATTCAGGGAGAGCTTGCCAGTTGACAAGTTTGACTTGACATAGGAGACACACGGTGGGTGTGGAGGATTGTTTTTCAGACTGGAGGCCTGTGACCAACGGTGTTTTGCAGGGCTCGGTGCTGGGTCCACTTTTGTCATTTATATAAGCGATTTGGATGAGAATTTGGGAGGCATGGTTAGTATGTTTGTAGATGACAAAAATTGATGGTATAGTCGACATTGAAGAATGTGATCTAGGATTGCAAAGGGATCTTGATCAATTGGGCCAATGGGCTGAGGAGTGGCAGACGGAGTTTAATTTGGATAAATGCGAGATATTGCATTTTGGTAAAACTAGCAAGTGTAAGACTATACAATCAATGGTGGAGCCCTGGGTAGTGTCGTCAAACAGAGAGACCTATGGGTCAGGTACATAATTTTTTAAAAGTTGCATCACAGATTTACAGGTTGGTTAAGAAAGCACTTGGCACGCTTGCCTTTATTGCTCAGACCATTGAGTATAGGAGCTGGGACATAATATTGAGGTTGTACAGGACATTGGTGAGGCCACGTTTGGCATACTGTGTATAGTTCTGGTCGCCTGCTCCCATGGAGCGATATTATTAAATTGGAGAGGGTTCAGAAATGATTTACTGGGATCTTACTGGGACTGGAGGGCTTGAGTTATAAGGATAGGCTGGGACTTTTATCACTGAAATGTAGAGGTTGAGAGGTGACCTTATAGAGATTTATTAAATCATGAGGGTCATAAATAAGGGGAATAGCAAAGGTCTTTTCCCTAGGGTGGGTGACTTCAAAACTAGGGGGCATATTTTTAAGGTGAGACAAGAAAGATTTAAAAGGGACCCAAGGAGCAACATTTTCGCAAGGAGGGTGGTTCGTATGATGAATGAACTGCCAGAGGAAGTGGTCATATAGGTACAATTACAATATTTAAAACACATTTGGATAGGTACACGAATAGGAAAGGTTTAGAGGGATATGGGGCAAACACAAACAAGTGGGACTGGGATAACACAGTGTAGAGCTGGAGGAACACAGCAGGCCAGGCAGCATCAGAGGAGTAGGAAAGTTGACATTTCGGGCCGGGACCCTTCTTCAGAAAAAGGGTTCAGTTTTGGAAACTTGGTCGGCATGGACTAGTTGGACCGAAGGGCCTATTTCTGTGCTGTATGACTCTATGATTCTATTCTGTGACTATTCCCTTTGTTCCTAGACCTCCTAGCCAAGGGAAATCTCTTTGCTGCATGCACCCTGTCGATCCCTGTCAGAATTTAAATTTTTGACTGAGATTACCTCTCATTTTTCTAAACTTTAGAGAATATAAGCTATTTAATCTTTCTTCATAGGGTAACTCCTCCATTCCAGGAATTAGTTGATGAATCTTTGTTGCATTCCCTTAGCGGCAAGTCTGTCTTTCCTTGGGTAAGGAGACCAAAACTGCACAAAACTCTGAAAGTGTGGTCTACACCAAAACTCTATGTAATTGCAATAAGACAACTTTTGTCTTCTACTCAAATCCTCTAGTAATAAAAGTCAGTGTATCATTTGCCTTCTTAATTGCTTGTTGTCCCTGCATGTTATTTTTCAGTGATTCATGAGTAAGGTCACCCAAGAATCTCAAAGTTATACAGGCATTTTGTTTTACAGACATCACTTAATGTAAGTATGACAAGTCTCCTCTTGGGAGCAGAGTAATGATAAGCACTAGTGGAAGATTTTGGAGAAATAGTGGATGGCATGGTCAGAAGATAGAGTTTAGAGTAAAGGCAGGGAGAAAGTTGCAGTTAGTGGGATGAGGTAGGTGGTTGTGTGGTGGGAGTGAAGAGTTGTTTATCTTGTCAGGTTGCATGGTTTGCACTGTGCAAGAGAATTCATTGCTGCTTTGATTTTGTTAATGCAGTGCTTTTCACACTGAGGGCAGTGCAGTATGTTAGTTTCAGGAGTTTTTTAAATTGGTTCCCTTTGTGATGTGGCAGGCTATATGGCTAATGCTTATCTGTTGAGTTTTATTTCTGTAGTCTACACGGTACTGTTGTTGCCCTTATTGATGTGATTCTTTGTACTTTGGGTCTCCATCTGAGTAAGACTAACGTTCTCTTTGAACTTATTTGCAGGGTGGATAAGGAAGACGAAATGACTTGCCTAATAAAAGGTTGCAACTTTGTGCTGCGAAATATTCCACATGAGGCCTTTGTGTATGTGAAGCATGCAGATCCTGAATTCCGCTTTCAGACAACACACCCAGATATCTTTCCCTACCTGCTGGTGAACATTGGGTCAGGAGTATCTATAGTTAGGGTAAGGAGGATCTACTTCGAATAGTTTTATCATTGACTGACTAAGTGCAACATGTCCACATCTGATCTTGCCTTTTTTTAAGGATTGAAAGGATGCATTCCAGTAACTTAATCAATATTATAAAGGGATACAGCTCTACAGTTAGCTAATCTCTTTTTCCTCTTAATTACTTTCTTTTGACAATTAACATTCAGAACTGAGCTGCCATAGGTAATTGTGTAGAATTGTGGCTCTGATATTCCTCTGTCTCATAATTTTCTGCGCCCAGTACTTGTCAAGGCACTGACTGTTCTTTTGGACTGGTTACAATGGGAGCAGGCAGCCTCGTAGTGCCTGGCCAAAGTGGTAATTTCTTAAGCCCCGGCATAATAGAATCAACCAGCTATTTGATTGTAAAGAACATTACAGTTAAACCCAATTCTGTCCTCATCAAGATGCGTGTACATCAGGCTGGAATCAGAAAGGCTAGTCATGGCATTCAGTGAAAATGCTGACTAAGATCAGCTAATTTCTCCTTTCAGTATACATATCTTAAATAAGAGACCGAAAGAACTGCGGATGCTATAAATCAGGAACAAGAACAAAGTTGCTGGAAAAGCTCAGCAGGTCTGGCAGCATCTGTGAAGGAGAAAACAGAGTTAACGTTTCGGGTCCGGTGACCCTTCTGAA